GCTTTGGTTTGTTATGAAAGGCTGGTCTTGAAACACAAAATGGAAATATAATGGCACTTGATGCTGGTAAGATCAAAGAAAGCTTGTACTATACTGCCCTGCAATGCAAGTATAGGATGTTACCATGAGGCATTTTTTCCCTGACTTTGATAGTCTGTGACCTCTGTTTATAAAGACCAAGAACATTACATTTGTCCTCTGAATTGCTTTAGTATTTTTTTCAATCCATTTTACCCTTCTAAATACATATATATATATATATATAATGGACAACTGCAAGGTAACAGATACAAGCTACTCCTTCAATTCAACAGGAAAGAAAACACAAATAGATCCAATTCACGTTGTGCTGACAGCTGAGCTGGTATCGGCCAACCCCTGAGCACATCTGAAGGTCTACAACATTCAGAAGGCTTGCAGTTCACACCCTGCCACCGCCCTTAAATTCACATTTTGCAGCAGTTCTGGCATTGTCAGTGTTTCAACTCGTAGCTATATTCTTGTAGGACGGCAGGGAGGGACCTTGAAGCAGAAAGCTGAAACCTGCGGTCTCCAGTAAGGACCCAGACAGAAGGGTATAGAGGCAAATTAATTGTCCATGTACTTCTCCTTAATTTAAATGTTTGAAGAAAAGAAGAAATCACATGTCAGCCTATCAGCTCTTTAATGCTTTGAGTAATTCAGCAAGAGATGGGGGTCAGAGAACGCCAAGACAGGGGATCAGCATTTTCTCAGCACATTGTCTAATTAGCCCCTGACTCCCTGAGAGACTTCAAAATATTAACCTGACAAAGTTGGTGTCCACAAAAATTCCATGTTATCTGGAAACTTTCCAGCTCCTTTCAAAGCTGGATTATGCCTATCTGTACTGTGCATTTCCTTGTGATATGAATTTTATAGACTGCCATCATTATTAGGCAGAGAGCTGTTAAGAGGCAGTGACTGACTTGCACACTCACTGCTTGTCCTTGCGTTAATGGGGGGTTGGGAAGAGGTCACCACAAAGTTTAAGGCTGATTGCCTAGAAAATCCAGTAGGATTCAATCAGTCGCTGCTTTTAAGTCAACATTATTTTTAAATAGCACAGGGATGAGGCGGGAATTTTAATTTATTTCAGCCAGAATCTTTTCCTAAAGAAAACATGGATTTTCAGAATTACCTGGAAGAATGAGAAAGCAGACTGATCTCACCATGGATAACTCTCAGGGGTATTCCTTACAGAGGGAAAGGGATTCAGGGATTTCAGTGACAGTAGCTCAGCTACAGTGTGATCTGGCCTGTAAAGGAATAAAAAAACACACAAACCCCCCACCAATCTCTAAACTGCATGGAGAGTTTGGATCCAGATGTACAGGATAAAAGCTCACCTGAATCAACCTATGCCTGGGACTGTCACTGAGTGCAAATATAACCTCCTAGAAACAATGGGGAAGGAAGGGCAGAGAATAATTATCTCCCTGCACCATCATCCCTCTGGGAATGTTTGAGAAATCCACTGCATTTACTGTGTCCTTGTGACAAAATATTGACTTCCATGACATTAACTGTGAGCACATACTAAAGCACTGGTCTCTGTAGGGTATAGTTTATTTTATAAAACTTCTAATGGCATATTTAAAAATAAGTATACATTTTAATAAACACGCTCAAAGAACAAAAATTGATTGCTTGCTGCAAAACCTCCCAATTTTAGTCCTCTCTGTCCCTTTGTGACTCATATATGAAATACAGCTTCGCTTGCATTAAAAACAGAGGACATCAGATTTGTGTGTTTTATTCCAGTTGTTGTTATTACGATCAGCAGACATTACACCTGCTTAATTCAAAGAACGGGCATCAAAGCCCCACCCAGCTATTCAGAGAATATCCTATTTCAGCTCTTCTGTGGATAAAGCAACGCTCTGGGGTTGGTTTGTGTTCCCATCACAGGTATTATCTGACCATTTTAGATATAAGTGTCTATTTTTTTTTTATATGGTCTATCCCACCCCCTTCTTTAAAAAAAAAAAAAAAAAAAGAAAAACAACAATGAATTAAAAAGTCTTAATTCTGTTAGGCTACACTGTACTGAGTCACCCTGATCCTGCCACCAGAAACACAAACCTTGTCCAGTAATCCCCACTGAGTGTGGCTGCTCCCAGTTTCAAGCACTCAGCCTGTCAATCTGATCTCACCTTTGTTTTCAGTTATCCATTTTAGCTCCTGCTGTTTTCCCCTGTATTTACAGAATCACAGGAACACTCCCATGCAGTTTTCCTCCAGTCAGTGCACATTTTACTGCAGTTTAGTTCAGTGTTGGTACTGCAGCCACAGCTGCTCCCAATTTTAATTCCTTGCAGTGTTTCAGAGAGAACACGAGTTTTTCATCCAGATATTGGTGAGACTCCTCACTTTGGGAGTGTTGGCCACGTGTAAAATTAGGCAGGTCAGCAGGCCTTTGCAGGGATGAGAGAGTTAGAGGAGCTTTCCTCTAAAAGAAACCCACATCATTATTCAGGCATTATAAATTACACCACCTTTAGGGGGAGAGGAGAGTAGCCATTTGACATGGCACTGTGTGACAAGGAGTGAATATTTGGCTGAGGGCTCACCTCCACCTTGACGGGAAGTGTTATGGAATCTGTAATATCTACACAAAACCAGCAGGACCTTACCTTAATAAGGTCTCATCCAAATGACTTGCTCACTAAACTGCATGGAATTCAATTTCTCTACCTCTGAAAGATGAAGGGCAAGTTGGTCCTGCCAGGGATTTAAATTTATGGCTCCACGGCCTCAAAATGTGAAATGTATAGCATTAAATAAGCCTGCTCAGTGGTTTGATAACATCACATGGTTTTCTGAGCTATTATTAAAAAAAAAAAAAAAAAGGTGGGAGTATGTGGGAATACAATCATAAAAAGGAGGCAAAGGCCACATAATTAGTACTATGTATTGCATACATTCAAGTGAAAAGATAAGGCAACTTTTGGCAGAATGTCTTCAAGAAAAAATCATCATAGAGGTAGAAGAAGATTGAAAAAGGTGACTTCTATCTGTCCTCAGTTGTCTTGTGTGCCTAGAAGTCACTTCTATAAATGATGGGATATCTCTCCAGCAGCCTGTGGCCATCAAAGCTGGTTCAGATGGGAAGCTCTTCCAAGTGAGTCCATTTTGGCTGCTCACAGGTCAGGACAGAGCCCTCTCTCAGCTTCTGGCCCGTGAGAAACAGCCTGAAGTTCTTCCACCTCTCACGAGGGAACCAGGGCACCCTGGGTGCACTTATCCAGCAATTTCCCTCCTCCACCATAAACCTTGCATTGCACTCTATCCAAGTGCAGGGAGACCAGGAAACTTCTGACTTTCACCCATCACATCAGCCAAGCAGGAAACAATTCCCTCTGTTCACACAGGGTGGTGGCTTTCTCTCTCTCTCGGGCTAATCAAGTGGAGAGCATTTGCTGGGATTTGCAGTAGCCCCAGTTTAAAATGGGAGGCTGGAATGAGTAAGGTATCCTTGCAATTTCCACGGTGGGCCATTTTTTCCTGCATGTAATCCATGACTGCAAATCCGAACACTAATTCGGAGCAGTGATAATCCTCCTCAGCACTGACCCTAAAGATCTTTACAGCAACACAAATGAGATCAAAGGACAAATGAAAGTCTCTTAATCCCCCTAAGTGTGAGTTCAACCTAATCTTACATTTCTGTCTTTTAATTCTCTCTAAATCTGTTTTTAACTTTGCTTAACATTCATTATCCTTTTTCATGCCCTAATTCTGCAAGAAAAAAAAATAAATAAATAGCCCATGTCTGGGAGTACATTTGACATTTCTGTACAGGGATGGTGGTTTTTATATGAAGCACTAGTTTGTCAGCAATTAGAGTGGGAAGTAGGTGGAGGGGAAAAGTGGAGGGAGAGGATGTACCATGGAGGATTAAGACTGGTGAATGAGGTGCAGAAAGACTCCGTGGTGATGTTTGTGTCACTTGTAGGAGCACAAAATCTTTCATCAGGAGATTGTCGGGAAAAAAATAAAACCAAAACAAAACAAGTCCACAAACAAAAAAACCCCAAACAACAAAAAACCCCACCCAACACACCACTCACACACACAGAGCATTCCTGAAGTTGCCTGGCATGATTTGATCACAATTAGCGATCCCTTCTCCCTTGCTGACCTCATGGCATACATAAAAGATCTCGTACCTTTTGAGTGTTTCATTAATCAGGTCCTGTATTAATTTTGCAATGCAGCTCTCGCTCAATAATGTTTGGAAGCCTTGCCAACACTTTTCTGTTACACGGCTTTGTGTATTTTGGGGCATGGAAGGCTTTTTTCATTAAGTATTATTCTTTGCTAATGTGTAGTTAATAACATAATGGAAAAGCTTTTAAACTCCTCGGAGAATTAAACCACTCATACTTGTTTAACTGCTTGATTTCCTAATGGATATAGTGTAGGATTTAATATTCTGCTCATTTACATTACTTACCAGAAGAAAGGAGACCTTTAACTGCTTTTTCTAAAAACAACAGTAAATCATGTTTAAGTTGATTGATTTCTGCATACATATTAACACAGACTAATGGAAGGCACAATGTCTTCACAATCCATGCCATCGTGTTCAGCTACTGCTGAATATTAGGGGTTTTTTTAATTTTTATTTTTTACTTGGACTGGAGAAAGAGCATCCCTATTGTATGGTAGAATTTGACTTATCTCACAGCTGGATTCACCCCTTTGTACGGAGTGTGGTGCTAAGTTAAACTAAAATTCCATTTGGTAATTAACAGAGCTACACTGATTTACACCAACCACTGCACTAGCCTGAGACATCTGGGATCATAATTGAAAATCAGACATGAGAAAACTTTTAAGGATTAGATTATATCTGCTTTATTGCTCTGAGAAATGCTTTATCCCCTATCACAGTCACTGGAATGGACATCAGCTGAGAACAGAAGTAGGAGCTGCAAGCACCACACAGGCAACTCTTGAGCTTGTTCTCTCTCATTCCACCCTGCCTTCTCTCTTCTGCACTTACTCCAGTAGCTGCATCATGATGGTGAATTTATGACACAGATTAAAATCTTCATATATAACCCCAGAGTGAAACATCCCCAGTCATTCCCAACGAGGATGTAAAAGTTAACTGAGCACAAATCTCCATATGTAACTATCAAATTCACGACCACCAGCTCAGAGTCAGCCGTTCATCCACGTCAGCATCTCCAGCAAACTAACAGCTACAAGCTGTCTCCTCAACCAAGAGCATTCTGCATTTAAAAAAAAAAAAAACAAAAAACAAAAAAACCCAAAACAACAAAACAGAAATGTCTAATAGAGAGAGAACTGTGCAATAAGGGTAGTTTTCCAGGTATATTGTGATGCTGATTGACTAATTTCTGCTGGCCTGATTACTCTGCCACCACAGGTTTCATTCTCCTCGAGGGGCACTGCTGATCCTCAGTGGAACGATCCCCATACCACAGCACTGCTCAGCACGAACAGGCAATGAGGAGCAGGGACACACTCACAGCTGAGCACAAAGAACCAAGATCTCAACAACTATTCCCCCCAGGTAACCCTCAAGTCCGTGGGCTGTCCACATTCCTGAGGGGAATCACAACAGCACAACTGTTTTCCCAAGAGTTGTTCCCTCTTGTAGAAATGGCCACATTTAGAACCTTAGAATCACTACCCTGGCACGTTTTACTGAGGATGCTGTGAAAAATTAGTGTCATGAGTGCGAAAATTATCATAATCAAAGTGATTGAAAATTACTGTCATGAATGCTGAAACAATCAAATCCATAAAGCACACCACAATATTTTACTAGCTACTCCAGGCCACACATCAAGTTTGTCAAATGATATTTCTGCAGTCTGAATGGCAGCTGTGATCCAATACAATCACACCCCAAATGCTCTCATTAGCTGCATGGCTGGTACAAATGTGTGACCTGTGAGGGCTGGCATCTCACAGAAGTCTGTTAGGTAAACAAAACCAGCAAAAGGCAGAGAAACATTAAGGCAAATTGACAGGATGTGTACAATCTTCTTCAGTTGTTAATAAATCTCCATTTCTCTTTTCTGATGAGGCAATATCCTTTAAGAGAATTTCTCAGGAAAAAAAAAAAAAAGGATAAAGTACCAGACAAATGTTTCAGTGGAAAACTCTCAAGGACTAAATCAGTTAATCAGCTGGATTATACAAAACTCTGAGTTCCAGATGTGCACTACCTTGCCCTGGACTCTTTTGAAAGGAGAGCCAGGCATGCAGACAGAGAAGGTTGTGAGGTATTTCATGAGGGTTCTAGGATGCAAGGAACATCAACAACCTGGCCTTGCAATCAGAGTTCAGGCAGGATGCATTCATGGGGACTCAGGATTTCAGTATGCCACAGAGTGGCTTTCAAGAGTGCAGGGTTAGATGGGATATTGGGAAGAAATTCTTCCCTGGGAGGGTGGGGAGGCCCTGGCACAGGTTGCCCAGAGAAGCTGTGGCTGCCCCATCCCTGGAAGTGTCCAAGGCCAGGCTGGACAGGGCTTGGAGCAACCTGGGAGAGTGGAAGGTGTTCCTGCCCACGGCAGGGGGTAGAACAAGATGATCTTTAAGGTCCCTTCCAACCCAACCCACTCTAGCTGGGTAAATATGTCGGTGTATATGCACAGAAGAGAATCAAGCCTTTGAGCTGAGACATATGTGACTCTGTAATACAGAGTTTTGCAAAACAAAACAAATCCTCTAAATGCAAGGGAATGTGTTCCCCCTAAAGTCACAGAAGGGAAGGGAGGTCTTAAATCATGTGAATAAGCAATTGAAACAGAATAAACAATTCCATTCGAGCCTCAAGTTAATTATGGCACTGTAGCTGTCAAAAATTCATCTAAAGCACTTGCTGCCTAAATTGAAGGTTGGCCATCCAAACTGAAATGTCATTTTTATTAGTCTCTGACACTTAGAGAAATAGCCTCTTCTCTTCTAGTGGGCTATAGCCATTAACTCTCATTAGTGCTAATGGAGTTATGCACATACATCACATGCACATACATCACTGAGCACCTCTGGAACACTCCTAATGTCACATTAGATAACAGCTGCCTTACTGCAGCATAGGAAAGTGATTCCAGGTGAGGCTGGTCAGGGCCATTAAGACCTGTATTGGTGCACTCAGTGCCCTGACATCTGGGACAGAATAGAATTTTTAAAAAGATTCTGCAAAGAGACTTAAATCCAGAGAAGCAAAGCCAAAAGGGATCATGTCTCGAATTTTGCCCAAATTATAGATATTATTCCAGAATTTTGCCACCTTTCCTAAGGACTTGTTCTTCCTGCAGACCTGTCCCTACCAACTCTTTTGGGGTTGGACTGTATGACCTCCAAGGCACCTCAGCTGTGGTAGATTATTATAGTTATCTGTCTAGGAATACTTGCATTTCCAATTTTAGCATAATTATTCTCATAACCCACTGTTAAAATGCAGAAATGCAATCATCCTGATTCTACTGATGGGCAGTTCATGCTTAGAGAATTAGCTGAATTGCCCACAGTAATTTAGGAAATCTGTTGCAGAGCCAAGCCTTAAACTAGAGTTATATATGGCCTCTAACAAGGAACCAACCTTCCTCTTGGAAAAAATAAGACTTTGGCCTCTCTTAGGCACTCTTCATGTCCCAGTGTTACTCCTATTTCAGTGTAATAACACATAAGATAGAAATTCTCTGACTTTTTTTAATTTACAGGCAACTGAGAACCGTGGCTCACGAAAGGATTTTTGGATTTTCTCTTTTGTCTGTTCTTGCCAGAAAAAACAGAATTTTTTTGCTCTGTTATTTGCATTTCAGAATCACTACCCTTGTGCCTGCCAGGCTTTTTTAAAAACCTGAAATTTTGGTTATAAACAAGAAACCGAAGTGCTACAAATATCCATTAACAACGAGGAAAACCTGATCCCAAGAACCTTCTGGCTTCAGCAAAGTTTTACTGCTCCTATTCACGGTGGGAAACTTCCTCTGAAAGGAAAATATTGAGATCAGGCAACAGATTACCTCTTTGGAATATTTATAATAATATCTGTTGGACTTCAGGACATCACTGCACCTCTCATTGTACTGCATGTTAGACCCAGGCCTGTTAATTAAATTGCTTCGAATCTTCAGCTGAAGGCTAGGGGTATGAAATTCCAAGTACACTTTGGAGCAGGGTGGTTCTGTTTTCCTGGTTTTTGGATGCCTGGAAACCACCACGCTGCAGACATGGAATGAGAATGGCAACATCTGCTCCATGTTCAGTTTGAGCGCCCAGCGTTGTCCAGCTCTTTAACCAACTGAGGTGCACTGGGAGCTTGAGGTCGTTTGTGGGTGATCTGAACCAAGCCTGTCCTCCCCAGCTGAGCCCTCTCTGATCTCTGCAGCAGCACAGGCTGCTCTGCCCCTGGTTGTGCACAAACTGGATGTCACAGCTCACAGGACAGAGTCCACAGACACAGATTGTCACAAACCCCACGGCCGTGCTGGTGTTTGTTAAGCACTGTGCCCTTTGTTATAATCCCCAAATCCCTTACATTATTGACTGGGAACTCCTGGCAGCACCCTATCAATAGGAAATTGAGTTGAATCTCTTCAGATAAGTGTTACTAATTGCCATCTTCAAACAGCTTTTGCACTGAATTAATTCTTGCACTTAGATACCATGTTTTATTAATGTTGGGACCCAATCTACCATAAAGGCAGTATGTAGTAAGAGTGAAAACATTTACCACTGATTGCAATATCAGCTCCTAACAGCTCTGGGGAACTTCTCAGACACCTGTTAAGACAACCCTTTAAACTGTTGCTCCAAGCACAGTGCAGTATTCACCTTAGTCATCCCAGTTCCTTTTGTGTAGAGAACAGATGGCAATGGAATCTGATTTCTGGTAGTCCTGCATGATCCCTGCTAAGTGGTTGTCAGAATTTTCTGCAGTTGTTATGTACTGTAGATGCACCAAGCGGTAATTTTAGAAAGGCTTTTATAAATGTCACTGTAAAATGCTGTCACCTCTGGAGCAGCTGGGTTAAGAACCTTCCAGCACGGTCAGACAGGGCTGCTACAAAACCAGAATGGAAGAGACCCACTCCCTGAGCTTTGAGGCTGCATCATTTTTGGGGTGGAATCGGGAGGTGGGAGGGGTTGTTTCTGCGGGACAGAACAACCTGCCTTTAACTCAGAGGTCACTGGGTCAGAACTACTGATCCCTGTTCCCAGATGGTTTGAAAGCTGATTTCACGTGCTTGGATTGATTGCACATTTGTTTTGCACTATTTTGTAGTAATACAGAATGCAAAATTGCTGCAAAAAGAACAACTTAAAAGCCAAACAACAGAAATTTTCAATCAGTGACAACAACTACTGTCATTCTTAGCACCTCAGTGTGCTCTACAGACTCCCTTAAATCACGTACTCTGCTCTGTAAATGGGAATTACAGTAGGATGCCTGTGGTGTCTGCCCTCCTGGAGAGCACTTGGGTACCTCACTGTCCTCTGGAGACTGGAAAATACCCATCCAGTGGTGCCAATTCAGATGGAATTCAAGTGCCTCCCTCTCCAGCCAGATGTGAACTCCAACGGGAAGCTCAGCAGTGTCTGCAGTGCACAGGACAGGTCAGTGGGCAGGGAGGGAGGGAGGGAGAGCACCACGAAACGTTGCAGTTTTGTGTGTAACACTGCAGGAGTTACGTTATTAACGCTCCTGCATCTCAAACATTTGGAGTTCAAGTGACCTGCCTTCCACCCAGGCTCTTCCAGCATGTGATGACATGGCTAAACCAGACTAACTGAGAAAAGAATCAGCAGCTCACCATGCAAACAGGTTAGGAAATCATTTTAGGGTTGAAAGAAGCTTTTATATTAATGAAATGGCTTTGTATGACAAAGCCTAATCTGGATAACCTGCTTAATTCCTTGTCATCTTTATTCATGAATTTATGTTAGGAATTCCCAAAGGTTTGGGACACTTGCCTGAAATTTTTAATTCCTTTCAAAATCATACATCTCAATTTAATCAGAAGTATAAATAAACTGTACCCAATATTTCTTACACAGATGGAACTCATAAATAAATACGGCTTAAAAATATTTTATGTATTTTCCTATTGAAGAACATTGTAAATGCTAAATATATCACATTAGTCTACAATTCAGTTAAACGGATTTATATTACTTAGCAATTCACATGTAGATTTTTTTTTTCTAATGGAATTTTAAAACATAGATAATCCTCACAACATGTTCA